CACTAGCAGCGTGTGCGTCGGACACTGAAGAAACCAAAAATACAGCTGTGCGCCAGCAGAGACGTCTTTTTAGGGCTGCGCTGACCTTCCACATCTTGCTGCTGTCCTCCCCATGTGACACCAGAAGAAATATCCCCAGTGACACTCGGTGGCCACGCGCGACTGGCCCGGGAGCGAGCGGCTCCACGTGCGCGGGCGCAGCGCCGTGGGATGCTCAGCAAACCCGGCTGACATTTCCCAGGGTGACATTAATAAAGGTGGGCTGGAGCAGGGCAGGGAGCTCCCGAGGCGCTGGGGAGAGGCCAGAACATCCCCGAGGAGGGGGACTCCGAGGTCTGTCCGATCCTGCGCTGCTCGTTCCTTGTTCACACCGGTGCCAGAGCGATGCTCAGCGCCGTGGCAGCAGCCCCCGGGCTCGCCCACCCCCTGCTCCAGCCTGGCATTTCTGGGGCACCACGGCAGCTTGAGCAGTGGCTGCCAAAGGACACACGTGGACCTGGCGTGGGGAACAGCATCCTCACAGGCAGAGGATTTTTGCCAGCGCTGGAAAGTTTCCGAGGTGTTTGCAAAGTTGGGATTTGTTAAGCACGGACGGGTCAGGTTTGYCGGTCCCCCTGCCAGCCTGAGCGGTGGCTGCAGCACCGCTGAGCCCAAAGGCTGGGAGGATTTCCAGGCAGCCAAATGCCAGAYGCCAGTGGCCCCTGGGACAGTTTCCCTGATATACAAACCACAGAAAACTCGTTTGGCCATGATCCAGGAGGCTCCGGGAAGCAGCCACATGCATCCCCTCTGGCGAGCATCTCCAGGGATTCCCCAGAGCTGTGTCGCTGGGGCTGCCACGGTCCCAAATCCTCCTGTGAGCAAAGAAAAACAAACCTCCCCGTGCCTCCTTCGGCTGCCAGACCCTCATGGCCAGGAACACATGGTTCTTACAGAGAGAACAATTCCAAGCATCTATAAATACCCAGGAAGGTAAATGCATTAACCTTATCGTGATCCCAGAGTGTAATTACATACAGCCCGGCTCCCAGTTAMATTAGTACATTAATAACAATTTTGTTCTGTAATTACTGTCTTTCTTAGATCTCGCAGCTATTTGCCCATTCACTTGCACACACGAGGGCATTCCCACTGCCATTCCCACCGCTGGAGCAGCCTTGGCCAAGCAGCTCCAGGCAGTGCTTGGGAAATCTGTGTGTACAAAGAAGTCAACCCACAATTTAGATGAAGATGCTACAAACAAACCAGCCGGGTCCTCATCCAGCTGTAGGGCTGATTCCCACTAGAGGAGAAGAGTTTCTGTTGGAGGGATCCGCTCTGACGTGGGACACTAGAGGATAAATTACACCGGGAGCCTGTTCCTGACATGCGTGGGATGCTCCACTGTGCAGAGGGACACCGGGACAGGGCCACCAACACACCAGGACTGAAGCCACCAGCTCTGCCAGCAGCTGCACRTGGCAAAGCCAACTACASAACTGGTGGATGCTCAGAGACTCCMAGGACCCCCGAGGGCTGTCCCCAGGAGGGGCCTCTCCATCGGCTGAGGAAGAAGGAAGGGAGCATCCAGTCGGATCTCCATGGAAACCAGGGAGGGGTGGGGAAGACTTTAATTTGAAGTGTTGATTTGGCAGAGGCCCTGGGAGCCATAGGCAGGAGATGAGCTGCATTAAGGAGCAGCAGGAGGGGGATGCAGCTCTGAAAATGGGTGCCAAAAGGGTATCTGACACCATTAGGCTTGAAAAGCTGCTGTGAAAGGCACAGAGTCGAGTGGGACCAGCGTAGCAGCAAAGGATTTATTTAATTCATTTGGCCCCTTTTCTGTGCACAAATTATCCACTGAGAGATTTTTTTTTTTTTTTTCTCAATTTGCTTATTAATTCGCAGCAAGGGGGCAGATGGCTGATGCAAGCAGAGCTCMGAGCATCCCCCTGCCAGCACCCTGGGTGAAGGCAAACCCTGACACAGTCCCCACACTGCAGGGACCGCAGTCACCAGCACCTCCCTGCTCCCTCCATGCAGTACTTCATACTCTGGAGATAAACWGAAGGCTGCAGCCTCCAAGGCTCTGATTCCAGGACTTTTCATTTACTGTAATTACTGAAGGATGTTTCCCCCGAGATAAGATCTGCGTGACATTTGCACAGCCGAACCTCCTGGCAGCAGCCCGCTCTGCTCGCACCCGCAGAACAAATTCACAGCCGAAAACGAGCAGGTCCTGCAGCGGGAAACAAAGCCACTGTCCCGGGGGAATCCATGGGGCAGCTCCCTCCAACCTCTCAGGGATGAGTGTGGGGTCAGCGAGCCAGGGGAAAGCAGGATGAGAMCCCAATGCTAATCTGGGCTGGGAGGTGAGGACCTACTGTCAGTGCTTAGCTCGCTGTTCCCCTAAAATCAGGTGCTAAGCATGAATTTGGGGTACAGTGGGATGTACCCTCATGCTGACGAGCCAAGTGAYCTGCTCTTGGTCCYACAAACCCTTTCTCACCATYCAGGAAGGATCTGCTGCAGCACCAGCCTTGCCAGAGGGGCTTTTGTTGCCTACAGCACCCACACGGTTTATTTAAAAACCTTAATAGTGTTTGGAAATTACAGGCAAACGCTCCACGTTGACCTTCACTAAGGTGGCTGCGGTTTCCCACCTCCGTACAGTAAATCAGTGGGTAAATGAACACGGAGACTCAATTCATCATCAAATGTCAAGCCTGAGACAGAAAGACGGGAAATGATTTAAAAGCAACCAGCAGTTTAGAACTGCTGCAAATTTCTCATTATGGAGCTGCGAATTGTTATGAAAAACTAATCTGTGTTTTAGGCTTTGGTCTGCACGGAGCTGCCAAGGCCCCTCTCCTTCATCCCTCCCTTTGGTTGGGGCAAATCTCATCTTAGATCCCCAAAAAGCCTTTGAGCATCAGCCCCTTGGATGCCCCATTCTCCAACAGACCAAGCTCCCCAGGGTGGATTTTGAGGTGTGTTTTGTGAGCACCATCCCCAGGTGAGCATCCTTCCCTGGGGATCTTTCCCTGCCATGCCCAACAGCATGTCCCAGGCAGAGGTCACGGTCGTGCAATGTCACAATCACGCGATGTCACCATGGCACCCATCACCCTCCTCCCTGMGGGACCCCATCAGGGAGCGAGGATGTGCTTTGCAAAGTCCTTCACATCCCATCCATTGCAGCTGAATGGGAGYGCAGCCGCTGCAGCTCGGAGGCTCCTCACCCCTCCTGCCTGCCAGACTCCTTTCTCTGGAGACACTAATAAAATGCATTTCCTCCAGCCAGTGTCTCACTTAGGAAACCTTCGCCTGGGCGTGATTGAGTGCACTTAATATAGTCGCTCTCACCATAGAAAGGATTCTGAGCCTCCTATTTGACAGCCTTGATCTTAAAGAAATCCATTAAGAGCAGCTTTATCTCTGGGTTTTGTAACCATTAAATCAGGTTTTATCAAGTCGGTGACGTGCTTTCAGGGAGACAAGTAGGAGAAACGGGGAATAAACCTCCCAAACTCCCACACTGCTGCTGCTGGGCTGGATTTGGGTGACATGTAAATAACCAAGCGAGGGTTTGTCCCTGTGGAAAGCCCCCCGAGGGTGATGCCACCTCACCAGCAGGTTGCAGGAGCCTTTGTTGGATGCTGACGTGCTGCTTCCACGCGCCTCAATCAGCTTTCGGTTTGGCAGAGGCACTAAACGCTCATTTCAGCTAATAAAGATGCCCGGTAATGTCATATTACAGGGCTGGCGAGCTCCCAGCAAATATTATGGTGAGGCTTTGTTTAATTAGAGGGTTCTCAGGCAGTCGCAATTTCCTCCTCATAATGGGGAAAACAAGCTGGGTTTAAAAGTTTGGGCTGGCGACAAACCCTGCTGAGGCTCGAGCATTCCGAGAGCTGGCTTCCCAAGGGACTTTGGCTGCTGCAGGAACTTTACCCCCAAATGCTATGTTGGTTTTTCTTTCTTTAAACTTATTTCTCATTACCAGTTGCCATTTTTTAGCTGCCCCTCCCTAGCCTGGGCACTGGGGCAGGGTCTCCCTGCTCTCCTCATTCCTCTGCTGCCGTTCCAGCAATGCTTTCACCAAGGCAGTGACACTTCAGTCCCAAAAAGGTCTCATCTGCATCTGCTACCCCTGGGAGTTACTGAACCCATGGAAAGGGCTTCCCAATCCTTCCCCTCCCTGCACACCTCAGTGATGAGACACAAGCCCAGATTTTTAGGGCAAATTAATTCTGTCATTGCTGGAATCCAGTTTCCTTCCTGACGCGAATGCAAATGGGAAGAGCACACAAGCTGCACGCCAGGCACGGGTGTACGAGTTCATTGTCATTAGCAGGAATGACTTCATTAACAAGTGGGAACCCAGGAAGCTGCCCCCACGCTTGCCTTGAGTTTGAGCAGCAGCAGCAAGTCCAAGTGCCATGCTTTTCCTAAAGACATTTGCATTTCCTTAAGGAAAAGTTTTATCAACTTAATGACAGTTCTGTAGATTTTTGGGCCGCAGACGTGTGCTGCAGGGGAACAGGCAGCACCATTCAAGCACCAGCTTGGCTCAAGTCCCTGTGTTGGCGTCCCCTGAACGCTGGCACATCATTCACCACTCGARCTGCCTCTGCTGCAGGTACAGCACCAGCTCATTCATAAGCCTCAAGAAATATCGTTGTGTGAAAATGTAATAAAAATTATTCAGCTAATCTACTTTAATAACCCAACTTCGGGGCCTCTCTGTGCTGTAGACAGTATAATCAGTTCTAAAATATGAGCTGTCATTTCCCATCAGCTCGAGGGAGGCAGAGGAACTCGGCACCCGACTTCAGCAGGGCCACTAAAGCACCAGCCTCAGGCCGGTGGTGAGCAAGGCAGCATTCCCAGGGCTGGTGGGCTGCCCTTCCCTCTCAGCCCCATTCACCATCCCTGCCCTGACCCCCAGGATGCTCCAGGGGACGGGGGTGACACAGGRGACCTCTAGCACTCATCCCCACAGGGCATGGATGCTGAGGATTTCCACTTTCCCAGGAAGAAAATGCTGCCACACTCTGACAGTTGTGCAACAGCAATTTTTATGGATCGAGGATGAGTAAAAAGTACCAAAAAATCCCATAAAACTGCCTTAGTGTGTAGAAAACTCACCGTAGAATATAAAATACTTTAAAAATATTCCGCAGAACCAAATCTGCAAACTTTTTAAGTTAAAAAAAGATTCCAAAGTGCCTAAAATATCGTCATGCTCGACAAAAATACGGATCCTGCAGTCACAAAGTGCCGTAACAAACACATCCACTCTTCTCGATTTGCGCGGATGGAGCCACATGGCACCACTGATGCTCGTGGCAACGCCTGGGGATCCTGGTGACAGAGAGAACCCCCAAGGGGGGTCTTGGCAAGGTGACAGTGAGGGACTGGGGGTTGTGACCATGCTCAGACAGACACAGGGACGCTGTTGGGCTGGCGCAGGAATCGGCGGCTTTGCAGTGGCGGGTGGGCAGCCTCACTGGTACAGCACCTTCACACAGAAGGTCTCCTCATTCTTGTCCTCGTGGTCATTGATGTGAATCAGGATCTCCTCCTCGCCCACAGTCTGGCTCGGGGCAAAGCGCAGGCCGATGGTGTACACCTCCCCTCCGGCCACCTGCGGGACAGAGAGCTGGAGGAGGCAGCAGCACCCGGCCAGACCCCTCCAGCTGACCACCCTCCCTAGGACAGGGTGACCCTTGTGCCTGGCACCCACCCAGCATTGCCTGGTGTGGCCAGATGAGGGGTCTGATGAGTGGGGAGTGCTGGCAGCAGGACATACCTCAAAAGAGTCCTCTTTGAACTGCAGCAGGTCGGGGCGGTTGGTGCACAGGAAGTAGAGCCGGGGCGAGGGGTAGGGGTTGGTGTAGGTGATGCGTTTGTTGCAGCCCTTCCCTCCTCCTGCAGGCAGCGAGATCTCAAAGGCCTGTGGGGTGGGCAGGGGCCGTGGTAAGGCAGGACACATGGCAAGGTGGACAGCAGGAACAACTGGCACTGCCCCAAACTGACCACAGAGAACTGTCCCCAACCCTGCCTTCCCTTCCACACCCCCCACACCTCACATTTGCTCTGCCAGCCAGCAGAAAGAACCCACCTTTGAGCAAAAGCAGCAACAATTAATTACCAGTGCAAAGGACAAAGAGCTGGGAGAGCAGCGGGGACTGGCCAGCTCTTTCTCATTCCCAGGGAGAGCTGGGGTGCTCCCTCAGATAACTAGATGGACTTGATGACCTTTAACAACCCCTTCCAGCCCCAGCTACTCKGTGACTCTTAAAATCACACAGCACAAGCAGCATGTGGCAGGACAACGGGACATCAGTGTAAAATGCCAATCTGAACCTCTCCCAGAACCAAGGGGTTCAGGAAAACATTTTTAGAAGGAACACATTAGCCAGGAAATCTAATTTTCTGTCTTTGAGGCAAGGCCTCCGCCAGCACAGCGCTAATCGAAAGCAGCATGCTGCAGCTCTAATTTCACCACCGGGAATACTTCCGAGCTGCCGCTCCTCAGCATGGGGCTGCCTCCAAAACAGCCTAAAAGACATTTTACCAGGGGCTTCAGTGAGATTATTCAACTACCCCAAGGGCTAAATGTGTGTTTATGGTGGCAAGCGCCAAAAAAAACACAGATGGAAAGAGAGGAAGAAGCAGGAGATGGCCCCGGGTTATTGGCTGAACTGTGACCGCTGATCCGGCACCATCACCACGTTTCTGTCGCGGKAGCTGCCGTACCTTGGAGATGAGAGGCTGCCTGCAGGACAGGCAGAGCAGCCAGGAGGACACCAGCTGGTGGGACTCCACATCCACCAGGTTGAGGTAGATGAACTTGCTGCCAGCCCGCCGTGGCCTCACGCCGATGTACAGGTCCTGCACACCGYTGGCGGGGAGAAGGAAGGCACCGCTGGGATCCACCTGTGGAATGACACCTGGAGGTACAGCCACCCACAAGGGCTGACCACAGCCCTGCAACGTCCAGCTCRGAGCATCAGTCACACCTAACTGCTCTTGAAAGCCTGTATCCCTGTTCCACCATACTGAATCCCAAATTTACCAATCCCAGGAATACTCTGGGATTAATTCATGTCAGGAAGGACAAGAGCCACTCAGGGACAGCCAAGGCCTCCCCAGCCCAGGGGTTCCCCCACACAGGCTTCGCCTGGGGAGCCTTTGCCTTTCCCCTTAAAGGACGGCGATGGAGTTTTTCTGCCTTTTATTATTCACATTTCCAATTACGGACGAACGAATTCTAAAGAAATTGTGAGTCTTCAGACAGTCTCATTAACGCAGATAATTTGCCCTCCGGGGTTTCGCGCCAATGATCCTACACATGACAGCTCTAATCAAAAGATAATTATCACAAACGCTTTACGGCTCTCAGTTGTTCACAATTCCGAGTGGGCTGCCTTTCACTTTYCAGAGGGGGTTTCTCTGGGCTGACCCAGCCCCAAGCCCATGATGGGGGTTACCTCCAGCTCCTGGGGGTGGGAGGTGAAGGCCTGCACCCTCCGTGGGGCCGCGGTGCCGCGCAGCAGCAGGGACAGGCGGGTCAGCTGTCCGGCCGTGCAGGCGACATCCAGGCGCTGCAGGGAGTGCAGGTAGAACTGCCAGATCTGGACAGGAGCGGCTAGCCAGGTGTCCCTGCACAGACAGACGGACAGGGCTCGCCACATGTCACTGGGGTCAATGTTCCCCACCYTTTTGGGGTCCTGCTACTTACGTATAAATAGCAACGAAGAACTTTTTGATCTGCGGGCTTGGTCCTCCGGCCACTTTGAGGAAGATGTCCTGYGGCTCACCGGGCCCCTGCACAGACACCAGACCATTGTCCCAGCAGCTGACCAGCTAATGTGGACCCCAGGGATGTCTTCCCATTAATGGGGGAGCCAACACCAATCCCCTTACGAAGGCAGATGCTTTCAGCACCWCGTTAAACCACGTTATTAAGTTATTATACAGCTTGGCTGAGCCCTCCCAGTATTTTTAATTACAAAAGAGGATACAAATGACTATCACATTCCAGGTCTATATCTGTAATCAAATTTTGGCAAATTCTCTGCAAGTTTTCTAACAAGCCCTAATCCAATTACCATCCTAACGCATTTCCGCAACAGCAATTAGCAACTATCCCTCGTTGCCATTTCCATGGACATGCCCGAGCTTATTTTTGCCTTCCTCTCCCTCCTGCTGTGGAGCCAGCCCAGGAGAGCCTCCTGCTTGGGCAGRGAGTGGGATGGAGCAGGGCTGGATATGGAGCTGCCCCTGGCATCCTGCAGCGAGGACAGGCTTTGCCCCAAGGACGCTACGCCCCACCACGCGCTGCCGGCAGCTGCRGATACCCTGAGCAGCCCGACAAAAGGCTGCTTTTCCCCAGTGTCTGAATCATCTGGTACTTGCTCAAAAGAACAAGCGAGCACAGGCTGCTGCGCGATGTGATAAGGGGCAACGCTCAGCCTCCCCCGCCAAAACAATGCAGCTCCTTTTAATTGGGAATAAAAAGCAATTCCRGCTTCATCGCTGCCACTGTGTCACTGCCACGGGCTGGTACACAGGGATGCTCTGTGGTTGCACCCACACGGGCAGCTCTCTGCCAACCAAAACAATCTGCAGGAGAASAAGGCGAAGAACAGCGATGCCGAAGTGGAACGTACCAAGGATTTGGTTTCACAAATGATGTCGGGGTCGCTGCAGCGAACGAACATCTCAGGCTGCCCGCCTGGCACCCCCACCGGCGTTCCTGTGGACAACGACCGAGGAAAACCTTTTCAGCCTTTCCTCTGCTTGTACCCTTCCCTTGAGCCCCACACAGAACCCCTCATGCTGGGCTACCAAACCACATGAGAATACAGGAGCAAGGAATTTGGGTTAAAGTTAACAGAGAGAGATGGACGGAGAGCAAGCAAGGGATGAAGGAGGGAGGAAGCAGCAATGTGCTCTTCCAATTCTGCTGTGCCTCCAGAAAGGCCCAATAAACCCTGAGCCCTGCCAGGCATGCCACAAACTCACCAGGGACCGTGTGCCACGGAGGCAGCCGGATGGTTTTCTTCAGGAAGGTGAGCTCTGGGTGGTAGAAGCGGAAGGTCTGGTCCACCACGTGCGGCTGCGGCTCCACCTTCACCCGCAGGAGTGCAATGGGCTTTCCCCCGCTCACCTGGAAGGAGACCTGTCCCGAGGGCCAGCAGGAGAGGGATGGGGTTTTCCAATGGTTCTGTTCCCTCCATGCAGCCCCTCAAGCAGCCTTTCACCCGGCTCCCTAACCTGGATCAGCTTTGTCTGCTTGGCCCCACTCTTCCCAAGGGGTTGAGTGTCCACTTTGGCACTGTCGCCCAGCCCAGCTGGCCCCTGTGGGATGCAAGAGCGAGTGACCTCAGGGTACAGCATGGCTGCAGCTGMATGGAGCACCCCAGGGCTGTACCACCCTGCCCTGCATCAGCAAACACAACCACAGGGGACATATCCTACCAGGAACAGCTCTAAACAGGGGCCCGTGCCTACCTGTGCCRCCACCACGGCGGGGTCTGCGGAGAAGGTCTGGTATTTGAAGGGGATGTGGACAGTCTCACTGGGACGCAGGTAGACCTGAGGYTTGAGGTCATCACGGAGGTGGAACATGTCCTCCTCCACCGGTGTAACACTCTTGGTCAGCTCCTTGAAGTGGCGCCACTCCCTCGGGTCCAGAATGACACTGGGGCAGCGAGCAGCAGAGGTGCTGGTGAGGACTGCGTGGGAGTTGGCATCACCCTGGCATCTTCCCACACACACAGGGGAGCCCCCACCTGAGCTCAGGGTGGTCGACCTCGATGGTCACGGTGTGCTGGACACTGTATGGGTTCTTCAGGGCAAACTCAAAGAACTCGGCCATGCCCAGCACAGCGTGGACAGTGCGGGTGGCCGTGATGGCCTGGCTGAGCATCTGGTAGATGCTCTCTCCCTTGATGTGCTCCCGGTAGGCATCGATGACCTGCAAGTCCCAGGTGCGCTGATTCGGCCAGCCCTACACAAGGGAAGGGACCATAAACCCAGAGACACTGCAGGGTGTCCGGCCACGGTGCCCTCCTGCCACCAGCACCCTCGTGCAGCCACACCAGTGCCATGAGCCACAGCCAGAGGGTGGACACGGCCTCACCAAGGGTGGCCAAAGGGGCCAGGCTCACCTCTGGCCGGCGACTGCGCAGTGCAGCCTCCAGCTCGCTGTCCACRTCCACCAGCCTCCGCGCCCACGCCGTCCTCCCACCTGTGGGGACAGACTATTGTCACACCAAGGAAGAACCCAAGGTAGCACAGCCCCCAAGGACCCTGTGATGCTGCAGGGCTGTGCAGGGCAGCGCTGATCCACAGCTGGACAGGCCGAGCCCCAGCAGAACTCACCAGCAGCAGTGTTCAGGGAGCGCCAGTTGCCAGCTGGGGTAGTGACGGCACTCTCTGGTGCGGTGACAATGCGGGAGTGGGATGGCAGCTGCCCTGCRGTGTCCTCGCATGGGTGACCTGCCACAAGCAGAGACAGGAGTGAGTGGAAACCATCCATTTTCATTGTTATAAAATCTACTGCCAGTTTTTACCTCCCTGCAGCTCTGTTCAGCTAATTTACAGAAGCAGGAGGGAGTATCTGAAGGCCAGTGGTACCCTGAGAGCCCCAGGTACCCCCCAGAGCCTGTTCCATCACACAGCCACCCACCCAATGATGGAGTGGCACCAACAGCACCATCCTGAGCCCCTGGCCAGCTGCTGCTTTGATTTTGTGTCCTGCCTTCCCCAGCACAGCCACACACTGCTGGGTCTCCCCACTCCCACAAAAGCTATGATAAGCAGAGCCACAGAAGGCTCCAAACCTACCAGGTATTTGCCCAACCTACACAWCCTGTCCCCACCCTTTAGGAAAGGGCATCAAGCTCTGCATTTCTCTTTCTAACAATATTTTGAAATTTAAAAAGAGGATGGGAAAAACACCAACCAAAGGGCAGCTGCTGTCCTGGCACAGCAGCTCTATTTCCTTCCTCCCTCCCTCTTCTTTGGTGGGGTGCGAGTTAAACCACTCCCCGGGTTGTGGATCTCACATTCTCCTTCCCAGGAGCTTATCGGCCCTTTGCAGGCAAAGTATGGAAATGACGATTTAAGATATCTTATATGGAGCTAATCTCCCCTCTGAAGATAAGATTTTAAAACCTGGAGTCACTGCACATTTATAGGACACAGAATTATATACATAAAATAGACGCAGCCAGTAGGTTCTGGGAAAGATGATGCCCCTGACAGCCTGGGTCTCGCTAAGGTACAGCCCTGCACAATCTGCATGCCCCACCCAAACTGTGTAAGCCGTGGGTTCTCACCAACATTGGCCAGGCAGAGGTGGAGGCGGCCCCTCACAGCCACACGGACACCGAGGGGCCGCAGGGCGCCGTGCCGCAGAGCCTCCTGGCCCATCACCGTTCCGTCCGGCTCGTACTCGGTCGTGGCCACCTCCAGCTCGTGGTAGGTCCTCACAGCCGTCTGGCCCTGGCGCAGCAGGGGCTGGGGATGAGGCAGGGACAATGAGTTACTGGGGAGGCTAGTGTGGAGGGGTCAAGGATGACACTGGATGTCCCGGTTCTGCAAGGTTTAGCCCTAGAATACTGCCAGAGTAGCGAGGAAGGGCAAATAAAGGTAATGCTTTGTCATCACTTTGGAGGAAAAGATAACAAATCCTGTGATTAAGGACTTGTCAAGCTGATGCTGGACTCATTTACACAGAAAGGCTGATGGCATCTCCCTGAAGTTACTGAAGACACAAGGACAGCGCAACAGCATCTCAGCACAGGATCAAAGGGTGAGCTGGGCTCTTCCCCAGCACTCCACACAGGCAGGAGGGTCCTTCAGCATTAYCAGCCATGGAAAAGACYTTCARTCCAACCAATACCTCCAGTTTAACRGCAGCAGACCCAACGTGGAGCAGGGAGTCTCCATCCCAGATGTCAATCTGGAGGCTGTGCTCGGCCAGGTACCGCAGGAACCAGCGCTGCTCCCCAGGCCGCAGGAAMGCTGGATCCACCATGTACTTCAGCTGCAAGCCTGGTGCTCCTGCAAGACATTTGCAACCCTGTTACAGACACCCTGTGACACCACCCTGTCACAGACACGGCCCTTGATGTGGTGGGCAGCCTCAATGTGCACCTCATGCACCAACATTCAGTGTTCCACCTCAAACATTGGATGTTTTGAATGTTTTTCATGATGTGCAAACTGACAGAGGTTTCCTATTAGCAGACATCAGCCTATCCCTTGGGCCAGAGGCAAGCCCTGATCCACCCAAACACAAGAGAAGCGACCACAACCAGAGCTTACTGGTGCTGAGGGTCCCATCCTCGTTGACCCGGACAAGGAGCTGTGCTGGCACAGCCAGCCCAGTTGCTGGCCCCCCGTCTGTGCTGACCAGCTGCAGCCGGGGCGTGGTGACCGGTGGGAAACGGTAAAACTGGAACGTGAGGAAGATTGTCCTCGGCCATGGCCCCTCCACGCTGCCCTGAGCATCCCTTGGGGACAGAGAAGGGTTTGGGTTACTTGTGGCACAGCACAGCCACTCTGTCACGAGTTTCTCGTGCATTTGGCACACGCCAAGAAGCAGAAGAACAAGAGAAGATTGGCAGCACCGTGAGTATTTGGACTTTTCTGAAGACAGCGGCCATACGGTTTGCCTTAACTTTCCAAAAAGCTTCGTAATTCCAGCTGTCTCCTGCCATATGCTGTGATGGAGGAGCCCAGCAAAGGCAGTGTGTTACCTTCCCACAGCACACTGCCAGCCATGGAAAGAACAGAAGTGGGGCTTTATCCAGCCAAAACCACCCCTCGGGTGCCAACTTTGCCAACTCCATTTGCATTTCTGGAGAAATCCTGCATTAATGAGCTCTGACATCACATTGTGGCTCCTRGATCCAAATTTTAAAAACTGGATTATGACTTAAGAGTGCCCAGAAAAGACAAGGGCATCACCATAAAACCCTCTGGGGCTTTGCCTATATGGCAGGAGCTAGAAGAAGAGGCGCTTCTGGAAAGACTTCTGCCCAAGCAGGAAAGCAGTTTGGSGGAATTGGGGGAAAGAATTCTCTCAAAAAGGCCTTTGGGATTTGCCCACACAAGACCACGAGATGCCACCCTACCTGCCAAAAGCCAGGAACTGCAGSACTATTTCATTGCCTTGTAGAGGGTCAGCTTCCTCCAGCCTCAGGYTGCAGCTGCCCAACTCCACTGGCTCCGAGATTTCCACCGGCTCCTGGTTGCGRTCCAGGATGTCCGGAAAGCCGGCGGCGTGCAGGCGAGCCAGCGAGCCACGAGACAGAGACACATGGGAACTGATGGAGAAATTGGGGTGAGCTCCACAGAAAGAGCCAGGGGATAGGTGGGGCCACAGGAGCCTGGGGAAGGGCAGCCGAACATCACCTGCATGCCTGCAGCCCCACGGCAGCCATGGGCAGCTGCAGCGGGGTGAAGGGCAGTGCCCGCAGCTGGTCACTGGCACAGGGCTCCTCGTCCGGTGAGCTCAGATTGGCTTCCAGGTGGGTGATGCCCCCATCCTGCTGCAGGCTTTGACCTGTGACCCGTGGTGAGGCCACGAGCTGGGACACCGACAGCTGGCAAGAGAGCAGCAAGTGTGAGCACCCGCAGGCCCAAGGTGGCCCCTGTGGCAAGGTGGGCCAGCAGCTCCTCTGTGTGCTCCAGAGCTGTGATGCCACCAAAAAGTGGCACAGCTTGGCCATGCCAGTGTTTGCATCCTCACTGCCATTTCCCTGCTGCTCGCTCCCTGGCAAGAGGAGGGATCAGCACATGCAGCAGGAAAATCAAACTCCTTAATGCAGCCTTATGAGGCATTTCATTTCATCAAAAATATTTGCGTGCATTGATTCCTGCATCAAGATATAAAACAGCATAAAGAGGGCTCTCAGTATTCATAGCTCTCCTTAAATCCTGGGAGCTCTGCGTGAACGAGCCGTGTGTCACTGTCAGCACATACCGGGGACGACAGCACCCGGCAAATCTGGGCTGTCAAAAACCAGAGCTGCCCTCACCAACACTCCTGGGGCGTGAAAAGAGCACAGGGAACCTCGCCCAGCACATGGCAGGCAGGAGCTGTTTTGCTGCCTGGAGGAGGTGGATTTGAGGACACTTGGTGCCTCTTGGCCGCACCAGAAAAGCAAACAGGCAGGGGATGGGTCCAGGAGCGCATCCTGCACATGGGTCATCCTCTGGGGAATGCTGCTGCCCAACACCCACGTCCACTGGTGCATGTGGCACTTACCCCTGGTCCCCGTGGGGAGACTGGCAGCCGCCGTGGGGTTGGCACTCCTGTGGAGAGGGACAGGAGAGAGATGCTGTGGAAGAACCACCAACCCCAGGCCCCACAACTACAGCTGCACCCATCACCACCAAACATGCCCCGTCCTCCCACCAGCCTTTTTCAATTTCAGGGGTGAAAGCAGTGCAGCGAAGCAGATTACCATCACCCAAGCACTCCTTTTGACTTATTTCCCAATAAGACTGCTGCTTGGGGGTTAACATAGCACATCTCCGGATCCATCCGTTATTTTGCCGGGAATCAAGCTAACTCTGCCACAAACAGCAGCTCCCCCATCCCCTGACAGCACCACAGAGCCCCACGGCCACACGGTGCTGCCTAAGTGGGATGCTTAATGAGACGTGAAAGTTTTAGGATACTTAAGGTTTTCATCGCTTCTCTGTTATTTTTTGTCACTCCCTTCATCTGCTCGAGCATTTGTGCCCCGAAACGGTGGGAGCTTTATCGTGTTTGTATTTGGCTGCTCTCTCTCTCCCTGGCACAGCTGAGTTCGCAGAGCCGCGGGTCCTCCACGGCAGAGCAGGGGCACAGATGTTCCATCTCTGCATCCACGTGATGCTAAGACCTTAATTTGCTTTCCTCACCACGTATATCCCATCTATTCCGCCGTGTAAAGGAAACCACCCCATCTCCCTCATGCCTAAAACAGTTTCCTTCCAGTTGGGATGGCTTTGGCTGGCATTAAGGAGAGGAAGGACAGATCCAGCAGTAGCACCAGCATCTCACTTGACAGAAGAAGCTCTCGGCCTCCCCTGGGCCAGACAGCAGCATGTTTCTCAACAGAGCTCTACCAAAAATTAACCCAGCAGTCTTTTCAGCACCTTGGGATGCAGGCTGGCAGGGCACAGCTCTGGGACCACTGCTGCACTTCACAAGCTCTCCCTGCTGCTGCAAGCCCCCAGAAGCCAGGGAAACGCTGTGGAGTTTGTCCCTGAAAATCACCCTGATGGGGGTCTCCCCTCCCCAGGGACACAGCCCACAGCCCAGCACATTCCCCCAAGCCAGAGCACGCCAGACCAGCAACAACCTGCAAGATCAGAGTCAGCACTTGCTTCCCTCTCCTCTCCCCTCACCACAACTCCATCAGCATCCCAGACACCTCCATCCAGCTGAAAAGCACCAGGAAAAGCCTCTCAAGAAGCACCTGGAAGGTACCAGCCAYAACACAGCCTGTGCTGCAGGGAGATGAACCCCGCACACCTCGACATCACCAGACCCCTTCATCTTCCCCCAATCCCCCAAAGCTTTCCTCTCCAAAGCCCCTCCCAGCAGCAATCCCAGCTGCTCCAGCACAAACACAGGATTTATCACATCAAAGCCATGGTGCCACTGCCATCTCGTGGAAGGCACCACAGCACCAGAGCCAGCACGGAACAAGAACCCACCGTAGTGGGCATCGCCTGGGTCGCAGACTGGCACCAAGTGGCTCATCAGAGAGCTGGGGGCCACTGAAATACTCCCTGGTGTCTGGAGCATCACCCCGAGACACATATGGGACCCCAGCAGCAGGAACAGTGCAAAGAAAGGGGAGTTTGCTTCCCACCAAGCACAAAAGGAGGATGAGAGAGAAGTAAGCTGGAGAGGATTTTCCGGAGCCCAGTGCACAGACACAACCTCGTGCCCAAAGCCAAGCCCACAGCAGCTTTTCTTCCTTCTCCAACAGAGCAGAGGGGTGCTGAGACCCTGACCACAAGACCCCCCAAACTATAATCAAATTAATCTGTGCACACACAGAGATGCTGCCTGCTTCTCCCTGGCCAAGCACCAGCAAATCCTGCATGCATCAATCCAACTCAGGATTGCTGRGTGCCACAACCAGATCACTTTTCCTCAGCCTATGACTGACACGTCTCATATCCCCATATCTGGAGAGATTCTGAGCCCAGAGAGAGGAGCAGCAGTACCAGCAATGAGAATGTGCTGCAGATGTGACCACGGCACCCAGTGACCCACAATTCCCACAATCCCTGGGGATTTTGCACATGGCTCAGCAATACTATCACATGGGGAATTTTGCAAGTTAAAAAGAGCTGAATTCAACTCGACAAAAACTTGCTTCACTCCAGTAATTCATAACCAGCTCGCTGAAACTCACTGAAGTCTTGTTTTCTCTCCCGAACAGACACCAGTGCCACACTCTATATTTTAAATGTCAGCGATCTGGAAAACACTCACTCAGCGATGGCGTAGGAGGCTGCTTCGACTCGTCCCTGTCTTTACATAGGATCTCCGCAGCAGTTACAAGATGTTCTTCCGAATCAGTGGAAACATGGAATTGGACAGTCCCAGACTCCACGTGCTTCCCCTGAAATTGGCAAAGAAAATGCTTTCAGACAGCRTGCTACACGCAGCCTCCCTCGTGCCTTTGACAGCGGCTCCCGAAAGCAGAGCTGCTCTCACCTGCCGGGAGTTCCTGCTGCTCGGTGGGGTCCGGTACACCAAGGCTTGGCAGGGCCCACGGTGGGCACCACCACGCAGGGGCAGGGTCACCTCCGTGTCACCAGTGCCTGGGACGGGACTCCAGACAGCCCAGCGTACAGAGCGCATGTCGGCCGCCTCGCTGCGGGTGCTGCCGGACAGGGCCTGGGGACAGGGGAGAACAGTGAGTGTTGGGCAGCCCCAATTCGCCGCCAGGACCAGGGGCAATCACCCAGGACCTGGCTCTCATCCCCCATCGCTCCTCCCCACACCTGGCTCTGGTATCACAGAAGCCACTGCTCTTCATCCCATTCTGAAGATATTTCATTTTCCAGCACCTTACGCCTCTGTAACCCCTCCCTCAAGCAGCTGCATGAAGGRATGCATGTTGGACCCCCATCCCTGGCAAAGGGGAAAGGTTTCCACTTACCCAGAGCAGCCACAGCCTCTCTCAAACCGAAGGAGAGGCACAGAAACCAGAGAGGTCTCTGCCAGCGTCCGCCATCCCCCTCACAGCTAATTATGGCACCGAGGACAAGGACAAAGGTGATCAGCTTTGCAAGCAGCTTTGGGATTAACCACTCTGCCCCAGGGTTGCACCACAGGAATCAGCTCTGTCACTGCCCCAGCCAGTGYTCCCCACACAGCCAAAGGGATCTGCCTCTGGAACCCCAAACCTCCATGGGACCTCAGGCTTCAGCTTTCCAAACGAGCTGAACCCAACAACAACTTCCAACAGCACAGCTCAGTGTCTCCTTCTCTYTTAGTACAAATCYCTCTGGTTTGGCACATGCACCCTGCTTTATTGATGTCCATTTCCCCCACTTGGTTCTGGACAGCTTAACAAGAGGCATTTGCTAAATTTTCAATGAACATCCTAGCGGGACGATTACAGCCTCCTAACGAACGCTTGGCCATCGATTTATCCAGCCAGGAACGGATGGCTCCAACWGCACAAGGTCTCTGGAGGGGATACACAGTACTCACTGAGCTGGGTTTAACCTGCAGAAAGGTTAAACTAAGATGTGAGTAAATGATCAGTGAGCAGGTGAGATTGTATTGACTGAAGACACCATGCTCAGAGATTTCTCCTGCTTTACAGTCTGRGAACATCAGGCTGAAGYACCCAAAAAAAMCTCAGSATTCAGGGGAAAAACACAAGAAAGGAGCRGGAAGGGTTAACCTCTTTTCARCATAATTGCAAAATTCTAAAGAAAAGCCWTTTTYRYAATAAAAAACARCTAAAATTTTCCAAATTAGCTTGCYAGAACACTACAGGACTGCTACAGGCTACATTCCTCCATCTACATATAAACAGTGGAGAAATGCAAGCGCATATAATTAAAATGATTCACAAAGCCCATTTGCAGGTTATTTTGTGCACTGTTGTGGCAGGCACCCAGACAATTTCTAGGGCCCTTCATCACTACCATGCAATGAGGAGTTACTGTGACTTGGAGGAGCAGGATGGTGAAACAGGGGCAGAGGAAGGAGTGAGCTCTGCTGAGGGAACTCTCCAGCACAAATCACTGCTCTTTCACAGGCACAGAGGTGAGCCACACAYAGCACTCAGCCCTTACCTTCCCACCAGCTCTCCCCGTGAGGCAGAAGACATATTCCAGCTGGAAGCAGACCCCAAACGCCGGGTGTGGGACCATTTCACTCAGCTGGATGCGACTCCTCAGCACTAGGGCCTGACCTGCATCCCTGTGCGGGATGGAGAAGCAGCTGTGAGCAGTGTCCGAGGCAGGAGAGCAGCAGCACCAGCAGTGGAGGGGCTCCCCCTTACCTGGCTCTGGAGTGACAATTCTGCCTCTGGCTGCCACCCGGTGACAATTCTGTCTCTGGCACCAGCACGGCGACCTGCGGTGCCCGGACGAAGCGCAGCCCGTTGTGGACACCCACGTGCAGCCGCCGCTCTCGAACCACCAGCTCTTCACCGTCCGGCGCACTGTTAGCCTGTGACAGGAACCTTTTCCAGCTTGGATGGTACAGCCAGAGGAATTCAGGCAGCCCTTCAGAAATCCAAAGAGCGGGACACACTCCCCAAGCAGACATCAAAATCTTTTGTCTTTATAGCAGAGTTGGTGCAAATCTGATAAGAAAGGACCTGACCAGCGCCTGCCACTCCAAAGAGATGGACCCGATACACACTGCATCTCATCTCTGCATTTCCCACAGCAAAGCAAACCCAAATTCTGCTTATGAGTGTCTGGATGTTCACAACAAAGCCCACGCAGAGCACCTGCATGCTAATCCAAARGGAAAGCAAGCTAAAGGCTTCCACAGCAAAAGAAATTGAAGACTCTGAGGAAACAAATGCATGAGCATCCTTGATCTGACACTTTCCAACACACCCATAAATGAGGCACCAGTGTTACTGCTCTCCACTGTGCCTTCCCCTGCCCCAACTGCATCAGCARTACCTTGAATCATGGAATCAGAATRGTTGGGCTTGGAAGGGACCTTAGGAATTGTCTTGTACMACCCCTCTACACCTTCCAGGGTGCTCCAAGCCCCAYCTTCTYGGGGCAGCCTCACCACCCTCACAGCACACTACTCACCTGAAGTAAGCGATCGCTGTTCAGCAAATCCAGCAGCTCCTCCTCAAACTCCTCCAGGGAAGGGTACAAGCGGATGAAAAGCTGCTCCAGATAGCAGGTGACCGGCTTCATCAGCCGGGGCTTCTGCAAGCAGTCACCTGAAAGACAAGGTGGTGGCCACAGGTTTCCCAAGCAAACAGAAAGCCACCACTGCTGTGCTGGGGTGCATGGCAGTGCCAGCAGTGACTCTGCCCGTTCATCTTCTGAGCACAGACCTGCAGGGACTCAGCTGCTTTGAGATGTTGCTCAGCTTGAGTACCGACAGTTACAACCCCAAAGCCACCAGCAGTGGGTTTTCCAGGCAGAAAGCTGAAGAATAATTCAGCTGCAAAACTCAGAGGAATTTTCTACCCTCTGAATCTTCAGCTCACGTATTTTAATCGCAGCAGCTCGAAGGGCAACGAGCCACAGGGAGATATTAACAAAAGCAGAGCAGGCAAGAGCTCATCCCCCCAAACCTGCCAGGCCCCAGCAATGCTGAACCCACCTCTGAGGAGTTTAAACAAGCTGCAAAAGCTGTTTCCAAGACTCTGCTGAACGACTGTAATTAAACCAAGCATCACTTATCCCTACCAGCTTTCCAGGAGCGAAGCAATTAACGGACAGGGAACAGACTAAGCCATTTTGACATTTTCCAGGCTGAGTTCTGAGCATGAGGGCTGTGGCCCCACACAAGGGAGGTGCTCTTGACAAGGGGAGGCACTGCAGAGAAACCACTGGTGCTCCCAGCAATCCCATCCCAGTGCCCTGCCTGCCCTGCCTGCAGCTTCCCAGGGATCTACTGCCTTAAAGCAGGAGCAACACAGGCAGAGGGAAAGGGAAGGAGCCTTTACTTGTGTCTCCACGTGCCAGCAGCAAGCCAGGAACAGTCTGTGGCCCAGATATCAGCAGGTTTTCAGGAAGGAGGTGAAATATCGCCTCCAGGGGCTGGTGGGATTTGAGGGCATACTGCAGGTGGCTCTTCTCCATCACCGTCATGTATTTGTTCTCTGAAGAAAAGAAAACATCCCAAAATGACCAAAACTGGAGAGACAGCTTCACAGCCCCAGTGTTGAATTAATCATTATCTGGGAATACACATCCTGGGAGCAAAGGAAAATCTGGGTTTTCCTGCTGAGGCCATTCCCAGCTGGAATGTCACTGTCCACTGAGTGACACCAGGGTGCAGACCACATCTCACATCAAGCAAACATGTACAAGTCACATTTGGGTAAGAGAAGACACCAAGAAAGGTCCAAGAAAGGACCAATATGCCCTGTCTGACTGCTGCTTACTTTTCACAGGGTCTTGGAAGCGCGGGTGCAGTAGGGCACGTGGCGTCCCATGGTACAGCTTCAGCCTGAAAGCAAAGAGTACATGTGCAGCAGTCAGTAAATCCACTCTGAAGCACATTTCCATCTTCCATAACACCCCTGCTCAGCTGCAAAACCCACCCAACCCACTCTGCAAAAGCCCTGTCCTTTAGGGAAGGGACAGGCATCCCTCCCAAACATATCACTGCTTCCCCAGAGTGAAAAATTCCAGGTTTCTAAATGCTGGCTRTTTCTGCAGCCCCAGAACCACCCTTTCTGCCCCCAAAGGATCCATGCACGTGGCCACCTCAATTCCCCGTGTGACCTGTCACACAGCAGCAGGGGAAACCTACGCTCTGTCCTCAGTGGTCGGTTCTGTCACCTCTGATCCGCCTTGGAAGAGRGGGATGATTCCAAAGCCACAGGAAAGGGACTGAGAGTCCCCACCCCCTTTCCCAGCCTTCACCACCACTTCCACGATGGCAGCGATGCCAGGATGGTTCAACGAGGTGTGGAAGTAAACGACCTGGGACAGGAAAGGAGAGAGATTTCAGAGAGCTATTTTAGAGCTGGCAGCACCAGCTGCAGRCAGGGAAATGCCTGTTACACTGGAACAGTCAGTGGCACAATCAGAACATCCATTAAAACTTCCAGACAGAAACTAAYGGCAAATGACCTCTGGCACTGCTATGAAATCTCAACCCCTTAAATACCAAACATCATCTTTTTTGTAAACCTTTTTTTTGCTGCCAACACCTGTTTTCCAGGGTAACTCACAGGCAGCAGACCCCAAAGGAGTGGGGCTTTGATGCACCCCAGATATACAGCATTTGAGCAGGAAAAAGGAGCTGGAAACCCTCCTGCAGCGGGGAGGGACAGGGGGGGAGCCTGGAACYGAGGGCAGGAGGGGACAGGACAYGGGTCACCTGCCTAGGACGGGATTTAAAGCCCAGTTAATCTTTCTATTAAAAACTCATTATCACAGTGTTCCAGGGAAAACGTTTACTGCAATATGGGCTGTCAGGAAGGAATAACAGAGAGAGACATTCCCGCATCAACCCCAGGACATAAATCCTTATTCCATTAGCCTTCATTGCAAGGTGCTGGATTAACGACCTGACCGCTGGCTGTGGAGCAAAGCTCACCCTGCAAAGGCACGGGGAGCCCTCGCAGTGTGTCCCCTGTGGCATTGAGCTTAAGGGTTCCTCCTGAATGCCCACAGCAGTTCTGTCACTGCATTCCTCACTGCTAGACCCCGAGGACAAAACTCACCACACCTGCAGTCTCTGATCCCTGTCCTTGTGCCTTTCTGCCCCAGTGAGGTTGGTGAGTGCATGCAGCACAAGGAAGGCAGAGGAACAGTGCCTTCCCTCCTTCCCTCACCTGTCACAAATCCATTTCAGCTCCACCTGAGCTGCTGACTTTCACACATTTGGAAGATATCACCCTGCATACAGACCACCCCTCCTCTGTCAGACCTCAGGGACAGACAACGCAATTCAGCCACCACAGAGAGACTGAGACACAGTCCCCCAACACCCCAAAACTCCTGCCAACTGCTCCCAACCGCATGGCAAACACCCAGGAAGCCTGCAGACAGAGGGAATGTATTTGGAAAGGCAGCTCCTCCCAGCATTCCGYTCTCTCTGCAGCACTCTCTGCCCTAGTTTTAATCCATCCCTCTTCAAAACAAGCCGGGGTGGGACAGTACTGAAACACTGGGGAGAGAAGCACACATGTCAGCGCCCCTCAATGTCACTGTCGATGCAAAGGAAGGAAGAGCATGGGGCTGAGCTGTGCTTCACTTCACCTGCAGTGCTGAGGAGGTGGAAATGGGGGCTATGAATTGCAAAACCTGGGTCATGCTACAGGGCAGCAGGATCTGCCCATTAAGGGACACCCCAGTTTGCTGCTATCAGCAGCAGATGGAAGCATGGCTTTGGGAGAGTTTAGTTCCCAGATAAGGAGAGAGAAGTGCTGTGCTGGAGGGTGGGCAGCTGCTCCTTCCCTTCATTCCCACTTGTGAGGAAACACTGCTCTCTGCCGCCGGCTCTGAACACAGCAGGTGGCACATGGTGGCACATCGCTGCTCCCATGGTGGCACCGGCCTCAGAGGAAACCCAGCACCCCCGTTTTTCCAATAAACCATCAGTGTCTGGGATGCACCCTGGGAAAAAGGTCAGGAAGTGCCAGGAGGKGAAAGGATCGGGTGCTGTGCTTTCCAAGCCCCCCTACCTCGTTGAAGGTTGCCCTGGCCGAGCGTGGCAGGGCAGCACTGGCGGCTCTCCAGCTGCTCCTCCACGTCCTCCCAAAGAAGTGGTGGTAGGTGGCATCGAAGAGGGAGAGGCGCAGCTGGTACTCGGCTCCCTGCAGGGCACAAAGCACCAGCTTTGGGGATGCTCRGGGACAGGACAGCTCTGCATCCCCAAAGCTCAGAACACACTTTGGAAAGAGATATAATTCCTGTTTTCTAAGGGATGCCCAGACAGCCACAGCTTCGTGCATTGCTGCAGAACCTGCCTGCAAGCCAGAGGCTGATGGAGCAAAGGAAAAGGGGGGAAATTGAGCATTAAGCACACAATAGAGGGGCAGCTGATGTCAAAGCGCTATTCAGAGATTTTAATTTAAGTATACTTATCTAAACTAACAAAAAACTAAGTGAAAGATTAATTAAATGCCTGCTCARGTTTGCAGGTATGGAATCAAGGTATGGGATTAAAACACAGCTTTGCACTTCCAGATTTCCTGTTAGTTCCCCACAAAACCACCCTGTTTTAAAAGCCACTGTTGGGAGCTCAGGCCCACAAATACAGACAGGAATCCTAAAAGGAGCTTAGAAAAAAAGATGGAGAGTGGCTTTGTACATGGGCAAACAGTGACAGGACAAGGATAAGGAGGAGGGGAGCTAAACTGAAAAAGGAGCAATTTAGGTTTTATCTCSCTGTGAGGGYGGTGAGGCACTRGMACAGRTCACCCAGAGAAGCTGCAGCTGCTCCATCCCTGGAAGTGCKCAAAGCCAGCAGGTTGGAAAGGGCAACCTGGTCTGGTGGAAGATAGCCCTGCCCATGTCAGAGGGGTGGCAGGAGATGATCTGTAAGGTCCCTTCCAATACCACGATTTCATGAATAGTGAGACTCATCAGAAACAACGGGCGCAGCAAGACACTGCCGGGGTCCCCTTGCGGGGCCGAGCCCCCTACCTGAGACAAGGCAGCGCCGTGCAGGTATTTGAGGACGCAGCGAAAGGCGGTGGAGCGGGGCGGGGGCCGGACCCGGCCGCGCTGCGGGTGCGGCGGAACCGGCAGGTGCTGCCGGAACACCCGGTCCCACTCGCCCATCGCCTSCCGGGGGTCGCCGCTGCCTCCCGGAGCCAGCTAGGGCGGGCGCGGGGCCGGAACACCGGGGGACACGCAGCCTGAGGGAACACGGACACACGGACCCCGCACGGTCAGCGCACGCAGCCCCGCGCAACACCGCACGTGGGTGGGGACGCGCCGCTGTCCGCCGGGGGATGCACACGGGTACAGCCAGGGCAGGGCCGGTTCAGGGCTGTCCGCCCACACACCCACGGGATCCCTGTGCGTGGGAGAGCGACGGGAACCAGCCCCGTCCCTCAGCGCCCAAACCCCCCCGCCACTCACTCACCGCGCCCCGACGCCATCTTCGAGGGCCCGACCAACCGCGCGCCCGCCCGAGGGGGGGGACAGACGCGCCACCGCCGCTCACCGCTCCGCCGCCCGCCTCCCGCGCCTCATCGCTGGCTGGAAACGGAGAGAGTCAGTGATGAAACCGTCCCGGAGAGATCTAACAGCGGTGCGACACGTGGCAGCAGGGCGGAAGCGGTGGCGGCAGCAACGGCCTCCCCCCTCCGGCGCGGGTGGTCGCGCCCGGCTCAGCATCGGGTTACTAGGGCGATGGTGCCGCACCGCGCGGGGCGGGTCCCCGCGCTGGGCCCGGCCCGCGCCGCAGCCAATGGGGACGGCGCGGCGCCCTCGTCATTTGCATGCGGCGCGAGAGGCGGGCGGCGCGGCCAATGGGCGGTGGGAGGGGCGGGGCGAGGC